GGTCTGGGTGCCAGGCACCTCTAGTTTTAACCCTGCAGCTGTAAACAGAGCAGTTTCAGAGAAACTGCTATGTTTCACTGAGGGTTAATCCAGCCTCTGACAGCCGCTAGAGGCACTTCTATGATTCTCATTGTGAAAATCACAGCGAGAAGATGCTGGACATCCATAGGAAAGCTTTGAGTAATGCTTTCCTATGGGCGGTTTGAATGCGCACACGGCTCTTGCCGTGCATGCGCATTCGGAGCTGACGCCGGCATAGGGAAGAGAGTTCCCCAGCGCCGCGGGAGCCCTGCGCTGGATTAAGGTAAGTGGTTGATCCCGAGTAAACTCTGAGAGAGAACGAAGGGAAGGGCGAAGAGAGAAAAGAAGAGAACAATGGATGAGGATACCAGAGAGAAGATCGCCAAGGAGAAAACATGATCAAGAGGAAGTCAGAAGAAACAGAAATAAAAATAGAGAACCCAAGGAAAATCAGAATATCCGAGAGGATGGACAACAGAGGAGGAGAGACAATATATACACACAACAATACCCACCATTGAGAAATAGGTTTGAAACCTTGGACAACACTGATAGAGAGGATGATTTTTTAGACAAAGCCCTGAACTGGACAAGACCCCATATAATTGGGAATCACAGCCCGCTACCAAAAAGAAGAAGGGAAATATGGGAAAGCGAAGAGGAAGAAGGGGAGGTTCTCGAGTTAAGAGAAAAAAAAGAGACAAGAAATCAATTTAACCAACACAACTCTGTCAGTAGATCAAATAACGCTCCTTAATAAAGGCCTAAATTATGCACCTACTAGCAGTTTCAGTAAGTTTGACATGTACGTGGAGCATTTAGTACCCTGGTGATACAGGATTTGGAAAAGCTCAAAGTTGATAAGAAAAACGACAATCTAAACCCCCAGGAGAGAAAAGCACTAAAAGAACTTAGGGAGAATACAGACATAGTAATAAAACCCGCAGATAAGGGAGGTGGGATTGTTATCATGACCCCTGAATATTATCTAAAAGAATCTTACTCACAGCTATTGGATGAGAAAACATATGGGAAATTGGGTAACAATCCAACCTCCCAGATGCAGGCGATTCTGGAAGGGTAACTAAAGAGAGGATTAGACCTTGGAATTATAAATAAAAAATAATTTGATTTTATTAATATTAAAAATCCAAGGACAGCAATCTATTATTTTTTACCCAAGATCCATAAAAGTGTGACGGAACCACCGGGACGGCCTATCATTTCTGGGATAGGGTTTTTATTTAGCAACCTATCACAATACATAGAACATATCCTCCAGCCATACGTTATTGGAACGAAATCACATCTCAAGGATACAACACATCTTCTCAGAATTCTGAAAGAAATAGAATGGAAGGAGGGCATGATACTAGTCACATGTGATGTAAACACATTGTATACGTGCATCAGTCATGAAAAAGGAAGCAAGGCCTGTAAAGATATTCTGTAAAGAGACGAAAAACTACCAGGACTACAAATTGATTTCATGATCGAAGGTATTTTATTGATCGTGAATAACAATGTTTTTACGTTTGAAACCAGAATTTTATTCAAAAGATTGGCACGGCTATGGGAACGAAGTTAGCACCAGCTATGCCAATCTCTTTATGTCCAGTTGGGAGGACAAATATGTATGGGATGGGCATGGCTGGAGTGCAAACCTCGTCACATATAGCCATTTTATAGATGATATGTTTTTTATCTGGAAGGGAACCGAGGAAGATCTTAAGAATTTTTGGGAATTTTTAAATTCGAATGATTGGGGGATAACATTGAAGGCCGAGTTCAGCAATACAAAAGTGGAATTCTTAGATCTAGACCAAGACATTTTTAAGAAGATAGACGTCAACAATTATATCCTAAAGACCAGTTGCCACCATCATCCGTGGTTGGCAAATATCCCAAAAAATCAATTTACAAGAGTAAAAAGAAACTGCTCGCAAGTTGACGATTTTATCCAACAAGCCAACTTCTTAAAAAGAAGATTTCTGGAAAAGGATTATGATAAAGAAAATGTAGAAGAAGCCCTGGAAGAAGGTTATGAAAATGAAGAGAGATGATCTTTTTGAATATAAAAACAAAGAAGGCGGAATACAGGAAGATATGGAGATCCCAATTATTTTTAACTACAATAACCAAGCACAAGAAATTAAGAAAATCGTGAATAAATGGTGGCCAGTTTTAAGACGGGATGAAGTAGTCTACAACATACTACCAGACAAACCAAAAATAGTCTTCAGAGGGGCAACAAACCTTAAATCTATGTTAGCCCCGAGTCAATTCCCAGAGAAGAGAATAAGATCGATTGTGAATCCCTTTAACTTACAAAATGGCTTCTACAAATGTGGAACATGCAACGCTTGTTGAGTGAGTGCTAAAACTAATAGAAAATGTACAGATTTCAAATCATACCACACAGGAGAAGGTTCAAAATAAAAAATCTTATCAGTTGTAACACCAAAGGGGTAATATATCTAATATATTGTACATGTGGATTGCAATATATTGGACGAACTGAGAGACCGTTAAAGAAAAGATTATGCGAACATATATATATAATATAAGGAGGGGATTTGAAGGACACAGCGTCTCAACACACTTTAAGTTGAGACATGGAATGGATCCAAGTCAACTGTACTTCTGTGGAATTGAACAAGTGAAAAAGGATGTAAGAGGAGGAGACTATACAAGAAAACTGGCAATTCGGGAGATGCAATGGATATTTAAACTGGGGGCTTTAAAGCCCAATGGTTTAAATATCGATTTTGAACTTACACATTTTCTGGAGTAGATCCACACAAAATACATAAATTGGGACCCTTTAAGAGATTCAATTCAATTTTATTTTTTTATATTTTATTCCTTTCAAAATAAATAATTAAAAAATAAAAAATAAATAATGAATAGGAATGCACCTTTAAGAAAAAGTATAGGTTTGTGACCTGTAAGTGATAGAATTGAATATTCATCACTTTTCCAAGAAAGGGCATAGAGAAAAAAAAATGTGCTGTAACGATTTTTAGGAAACATTTTAAGGTATCCTTTTTAGAAAATGTATTTTTACATTAAGGGAATTACCATCTTGGAAAGTATACCCAATTAAAATTAGAAATCATATTTTAAATGGTATAGTTTTATAAGCACCATAGAAATGTTTTTGTTTATATATATGTACTTATAAGATTTATATGTAAGATATCCATTAAATCCTGTACAAAAAGAATTGATAAGATAAAAAGAAGATAAAACTTTGATTTTATGCATGTGAAAGGGTTAATGAACATGTACCCATAAGATCTATATATAAAGCAGACATTTAAAAAAAAAAAAACATGTATAAATGAAACTGATAAGATGTAAGGGAAATGACATCAGGATTAGACACAAGTGAAGGGGTTAACAAAGCAGATAGGAAGAACCTGCAGGATATTTGTAATCAAGTACAAGGGAATTTAAATGAGATCGGCAGTCGGCATCCACAGACTTTGAGAAAGCCCGCCCAGGACGAAACTAGTAAGTCACGTGGTGCCAATCTTTACGTATCCAGCGTTCGTGGGAGAGGAGAAACAAGCAGCAACACCAGCGGACGGTGGACCTGCACAAAAACTGTAACTACCCCAAGAACAGTGAGCTGGATAAATACAGTGACATTTACTGTTTGAGCTATATATATTTTATATTGTTAGATTTTATTTATTTTTAAAATTGAAATAAAGCTGAGTAATCCTTGGAAGATCTCCGGAGTAATCAATCTCTATATTGTGAGTTATATACAAAGTGGATGCAAGTCATTATAACCAAAGTGTAACAGAACAAGGTGAGAGCTCCACATAGGGTGCATATGGTGGAGGCTCTTTCCTTAATGTTTTCACACTATTTAAGCCTTGTATTTCCCTAGATAACAGCCTAACCCTTGGAGTGCTGGAAAAATAAAAAGTGGCTATCTTTTGAGATTTGGACTGCTCATTTCTGGGACTCTCTGTGCTGGAAGTTATTTATATTTAATGGAAAAGTATTTTTGTGCGAGCACACATTCTGTATAAATTACATCTATAAGGTTAATAGGTTATAATTTCTTATTTTTTTCTGTACTTTCCAATTGGAGAGCATTCAAAAAAGATTGTGCGCTAACTCCTTGTCAAATAAAGTGGTTGAAGGGGTTAAAACCCTTGAGCCTAGCGAGAGAGGGGCCCTGAGGGTGGGGGGGGACCTAATGACCCTATAGTGCCAGGAAAACAAGTTTGTTTTCCTGGCACTATAGTGGTCCTTTAACCATTCTAAAGACCAGCAAAGCATGAAAGTAGTTGTAGTCTGGACATCTACCTTTTGGGCACTAAAGCATTATTGATAGAGCACTAGAGTTCTTTGCAAAATATGGGAATATTTGCATGGAAGTTCTGCTTATCAGTATAAGACATTTAACTCCCATACCCCAAAAAACTCTGCTGATGTTGTGAGCGAATTCTCTCTAATTTACATTAGACTACATGTACATTCATCTACTGCAACTCAAACAAACTCACTTTCTGCAGAATAGCTAATCACTTTGTTACTACGTAAAACAACTCCCTTTTCACACAATTTTAGGTTTTGAAGGTCGCACTATAGTGAAAAAAGTTTTCTTTAAATAAACACTATAGTCACCTAAATTACTTTAGCTAAATAAAGCAGTTTTAGTGTATAGATCATTCCCCTGCAATTTCACTGCTCAATTCACTGTCATTTAGGAGTTAAATCACTTTGTTTCTGTTTATGCAGCCCTAGCCACACCTCCCCTGGCTATGATTGACAGAGCCTGCATGAAAAAAAAAACTGGTTTAACTTTCAAACAGATGTAATTTACCTTAAATAATTGTATCTCAATCTCTAAATTGAACTTTAATCACATACAGGAGGCTCTTGCAGGGTCTAGCAAGCTATTAACATAGCAGGGGATAAGAAAATCTTAACTAAACAGAACTTGCAATAAAGAAAGCCTAAATAGGGCTCTCTTTACAGGAAGTGTTAATGGAAGGCTGTGCAAGTCACATGCAGGGAGGTGTGACTAGGGTTCATAAACAAAGGGATTTAACTCCTAAATGGCAGAGGATTGAGCAGCGAGGCTGCAGGGGCATGTTCTATACACCAAAACTGCTTCATTAAGCTAAAGTTGTTCAGGTGACTATAGTGTCCCTTTAAAGAAAAATGCTGATTGCATGTACATCCTTGGGCAGTCTTTAGGCTTGTGTCCTGGCTGTTTGACCTTCTTTAGTCCCTTAGTTCCATTATTCACCCTTGCAGAAGTGGAGCGTGAGACTATTCCTTCGTGCTGTTTTCATATTTCATGCCTGTTTCAAACCTTAAATCATTCCAGCCTACATACCGATGTGATTTATCATCACTCACCCTGTTCTGACTAAGGATAGGAAAATAACTCCAATTATTTGTGAGTCCATAAAATATATAAACACATACACAACCCCCCCACCCCCAAAGTACAGTAGCGACAATAGAAAAATCTTCAAGGTTGTATTATGCAACGATTTGCAGAGCTAAAAGCTGACAATCAACGTTTCAATAACCTACATGAGAAAAGTTGTATAATTCTCTATTTGTTTTCTACTGGCATGCGTATATATAATGCTCTTTGTAACCGCTTGCTCATTATAATTGCTAAATTTCGTGGAGCACTCCAAAATGAAGGTGTTCTATTAAATTGCCGAATACACAAATGAACAGCTATGAGCGCTGAGCAGATGTAAACTCATCCCAAGTAAAATATCTCATGTTATCGGAATAGTAGAAAGTTTGCTGAACTGCAACTCTCAGAAATCCAGGCATCTTTAGGACCTTAAAGGAACACTATAACATTATTAATAAATATATTTATTGGAAATGTTAGAGTGTTCGTTTTAAGTTTTATAATCAAAAGCCTCCCTTTGCAAACATAAAAATATTATGAGGTGTGCAGGTGAGCAATAATATGCTCAGAGGGGCTGGGGACAGGGACAGTGACATTCATAGGGGCGCTGGAGGGAGAGACACAAAAGAGTCTGGGAGAGAGAAGACACAAGTGGGGCATGAAGGAGAAAGAGGCACAAAAAGGGGCTGGGGAGAAAGAGACACACAAAGGGGCTGGGGACGGGGAAAAAGAGACACACAAAGGGGTTGAGGAAGAAAGAGACATGCAAAGACACTGGTGGGGGAACCGAGACACAAAGTTGGTCATTTTTGTTTTGGGGGGTTGGGTGCAAGTTGCTGGTCTTGTATATGGTGCAAAATAGTCTAACACCGACCCTGCTTATATTGGAGCAACTTACATTTTTTATTGTATATATTATTCTTTTGTAACAATGTCTAAAAAGGGTACTTTGTTAAGTCATTGCATCTATTTACATTAATCACTGTTTCAATTTACTTTTACTCATTAGTATTGTAAGCATTCTTACTGTTAATTTATGTGTAGCTTGTAACTAATACTTTCAGACTGTGTATGCATATGCATTCAGTTTTAGGGAAACAGAATTTATGTGCCAGAAGGCTTCAGTCTCACATCTAATGATATACATCACATAACCCTTCTGTATCTACTGCTCTCCCCTTATATATCTGCAGAAAAGAATATTTGTAGGTTATGAAATTCCTTTGCATTCCTTCTTTCTCCAGATTAATACCTACACCCCGATTTCCCATGGCAAGCATCTTCAGATTGTTGCTCCCACTAACCTACCCACACTCCACCTTTCTTTATAGGATATACCTTCTGCAGCTTATCTATTTAACTCACAAGCTATTCGGTATTTTCATATTTTCCCAGATTCTGACTTCCCATTATTACCTTTAAATTTTAAGCTCATGAGTCATTTTGCTAAACTCTTTGTATAAAAGTACTGTAATTGCTAGAACATAAGCTCATAGGCATGGTTCTCATGTATCAATTTGTTTTTTATTGGCAGTCTATATTCTGTATAATTACCAATGTTCTGTTTTCATAAATTATACACTGATCAGCCACAACATTAGTGACCAGACCGTTTTTCAATTTTCCTACTGTTAAGGACCAGGGCGCTTTTTGCATTTCTGCAGTGTTTGTGTTTTTAACTGTAATTTTCCTCTTACTCCTTTACTGTATCCACACATATTATATACTATTTTTCTTGCCATTAAATGGTCTTTCTAAAGTTACCATTATTTTATCATATCATATAATTTACTATAAAACAAATGCTAAAATATGATGAATAAAATAAAAAAACACACTTTTTCTAACTTTACAACTGCCAAAAAACACCTGTGCTAAATAGTTCCTAAATTTTGTCCTGAGTTTAGAAATACCTGATGTTAACATGTTCTTAGTTTTTGTTTTGCAAGTTATAGGGCAATAAGTACAAGTAGCACTTTGCTATTTCCAAACTTTTTCATTATTAAAAAAAAAAAAAAAAGTTATATTGTAACACTGATATCTGTCAGGAGTCCCTGAATAACCCTTCACATGTATATATATTTTTAGAAGAAAACAACCTAAGGTATTAAACTTGGGGTATTTTGACTCTTATCATGCAACCATTTTAACACCAATCTATGCCAAATTTAAAAAAAAATAATTGGCAATTTGAGAATACATGTACTGAGAATTTTAAGGGTTACTGCCAAAGAGCACCCCAATATGTGTTCAGCAACATCTCCTGAGTACAGTGATACTCCCCATGTATAGGTGTGTCGAGTTCTCTGGGGGCTAAAATAACTTATTTGGAGGGTGCCTATTCCAGTTTGCTAACGTGGAATTTTCAAAGCTGGTCATCATGCACACATGTCCTATTTGGGACATTTTTGAAGCCGGACAATTTTAACACTTTCCGTGCACTAATTCTACCACCATTCTTTGTCAAACTTTTGGGTAGTCATTTTTTTGTTATTTTTCTTTCACATTGTAATTTAGGCATGGATTCTCAGTTCCTGTTATGTGTTAACACCCCAATTTGTGTTCAGCAACTTCTCCAGAGTACAACAGTATCCCCAATGTACAGGTTTTTGCAAACTTACAGGGGTCAAATGTAGGGCTTTCCTCTTTTCCATGTTTGCACATTGAAATTTGCCAGATTGGTTTGCTGGGCTTAGTTGCATTTGAGACAGTATGACAGCCCAGGAATGAAAATTAACCCCATCATGGCATACCATTTGTAAAAGTAGACAACCCACGGTATTCAAAATGGGGTATGTCCAGTCTTTTTAGTAGCCACTTAGTCACAATTCCTGGCCAAAATTTGTGTTTATATATATATATATATATATATATATATATATATTTTTTTTTTTTTTTTGCATTTTTCACACACAAACTGACATTTCACAGATGATATTATCAGTATAATACATTTTACTGCTCTAAAACACTCATATTTGTGTAGAGTAATGTCTCACGAGTACAACAGTACCACTCAAATACAGTTTCAGACACTAAGTAGTGTAACATCAACATGGTCAGATCTTGTGGGGGGAAGAAAAGTAGAGATAGGAGGGCAGGGGAGGAAGAGGAAAAAAAAAAACTCAAACCCACCACACACAGCATCTCACTGCCTATCAGAGTTTGCATCACTTCCAGCTACCCACGCATTTAGTATCTTCAAGACATCTTCATGGTCACGTCAGATCCCCTTTGCCCCTGACCAGGGCCCGGTCATCCCCACCAGAATGTGAGTGGCTAAGTCAGTTGCTCCGGTCCTGCGGGGGCGTCTGAAGCCCCCATTGGTCTCCTCCCACGGAGAGTGTAGGTCCATGAACCCCTTGGGATGTGCATTGCACCATGTAAGTGCGCAAGGGGGCCCATGTCAGGGTGCATTTCTCAGAGGTGCCACGTAAGGAGGCTGTGAGGGATTCCATGCTGTACAGGTCTTCGACCCTGTCCATCCACTGCTCCATGATTGGTGGTTCTGCCGATCTCCACTTGATCGGAATAAGAGATTTGGCAGCGTTTAGCAAATGTCTCGTGAGAGAACGCTTATACACTGAAAGAGCATTGTATGATGCAACAGCATCGGTAGGGGTTGAAAGGGCAGGTCTGAGTCTGGGATTTCAGTAATCTTGGAATGTATGAGTTGCCAGTGTGGCCTAATATTAGAGCATGACCACCAGATATGTAGATCCACACTAGGTGTCCCCCCCTTTATTAGTATTTAGGGCCCTCACCCACCACTCAGGGGTGGGGACATTAGGTCCCCCCTTATTCTAATTTAGGGCCCCCACCATTAGGCTCGGGGGTGGGGGCTGGGGGGCAGGACATTAGGTCTCCCCCCTTATTCTAATTTAGGGCCCCCACCCACCACTCAGGAGTGGGGAGGACATTAGGGTCCCCCCCATTATTTTACTTTAGGAGTGAGTGCCAGGTGGGAGGACTTTAGGTCCCCCCTTATTCAAATTTAGGGCCCCCACCCACTGCTCAAGGTTGGGGGCCCTTATTATAATTTAGGGCCCCCACCCACCACTCAGGGGGATGACATTAGGTCCCCCCCTTATTATAATTTAGGGCCTCCACCCGCCGCTCAGGGGTGGGGGCCGGGGGGGAGGACAATAGGTCCCACCCCATTATTTGACTTTAGAGCCCTCACCCGCCGCTCAGGGGTGGGAGCCGGGGGGGAGGACAATAGGGCCCCCACCTGCCGCTCGGGGGTGGGGGTCAGGGGGGAGGACAATAGGTCCACACCCCTTTTTATTACTTTAGGGCCCCCACCCGCCGCTTTTTTTTTTCTTAACAGTGCTCACTGTTTAATAGACATGCCCCTACTCGCGGTATAGTGAGTAGGGGCAAAATTGACTAATGCTAAGTAATTTTTACTTAGTGTTAGTAAATTTGTCTGAAAGACCAATTTAGGCCTTTCAGCCTTTTGGTAGATAACTCCCTAATACCATGGGAATTAGGGAGTTATCTACTAAGCAGCTGCAAGAGAAGTCCCGAATTGCTGAAGTCCCGAATTGCGGAAATCACGAATTTCAGAATGCCAAACCGAACTGAAAATTTTCCCCATGCACATGCCTAGCACTTATCCACATTAAATGTCAGCCTCCACAACTCTGACCATTTTTCTAGTTTTCCTAAATTATTTGCCATTTGGCTTATCCCTCCTGGAACATCAACCCTGTTACATATCTTAGTATCATCAGTAAAAAAGACATACCTTACCATCAAGACCTTCTGCAATATCAC